AAGGGGACACGTTTTCACCAAGGAAATATTTGCTATGGGTAATTATGTCAATAGGTACATAAAGATAGGCTTTTCTCATTGCATCCATACGTTTGCATACACAAGGTCTAAAGATGAATTTGGAATGTTGATGACTATCTAGGTTGAAGTCAATCAATCTTAGATTAGGTATTCCTTAGATTGAAAATGTGTAGACTTGTAGAGTCCTGCACAGTTACAATGTTTATATATTTTTTTAAATAATTCTTGATCGCTTTTCTTTTATGGACTTAAACCTTTATTAATTAATATGAATATCTCGGTAAAAGGATGGCACTAAGCTAGTCCTTTTATTTGATTGCGAAAAAATAAAGTTGCAAATATTTTCTTGAAGTACAAACATTACCTAAGTCGCACTTTACTTTAGATTAAAGTAACAATTAAGAAACCGCAGAGACCATTTATAATGGCACAGTTTAATTACTTTTGTGCAGCTACATAATGCTTTAGAATATAACTCTATATCGTTTTTGATAAATGTACTTTACATCGTCTTGAGTTTTACAATAGGCATTCAAGATTCAGGCTCCTTATTAAACACCTGTTTTATAAATTTGCATATGAAATAATTATTTAAATATTTTATATGTATTAATAACGATCACAAATAGCTCATTCCTTCCCCACATTTGAGTCACATATCTATAGTATATAAGATATCGGAATATTTGGAATATGTAGCTACAATCAGATATTCTGTTCATCGACTGAATAAACTAACAAATTAAGCCACGCCATTATATTATGTACATAATCGCTTACAAAGTGGATAGTAGCGGAATATCATTATTTATTTTTTGTTGGTGTAATTTTTTGGACATTAGTATATAGCAAGTTCATGGTTTTCCTATGTATCACTAAAGCGGAAAAGCCTTTATTTGATTTATGATGGATAATATAATGAATAAAATATTTTCAAATACTTACAAAATATTGCAAATAAATAATAACTTTTTTATTTAATGTAAGTAGTATTTTATTTAGATTATTATCTTGAAGATTAGAATTGTTTGTCATCTGTGTACCTAGGAACAATTTACCTATCATTAGACACATGTGCTAAGTAGTCAGACACATATTAACCGCGGTATTATTAGGTATGGTTGGTTGATCGTTATAATGTGCCCATCTTACGTTTCATGGGACACTGAACTGTTCATACGAGCGTCATATCATAACTGACAGATTGATTTCCTGGTTCGAACTTACACGTGACTTTGTATAATTTAAAAAACACATAATAAAACAAAGTTTTTTGAAGAAGTGATAGAATAACAATTAGAATGACTGTCAGTACTTTGTTTTGGAACTTGGACATCAGTGCAAAGCAAGGGCGAACCGCTAGTCTATACTAATTTTATTATAGTACATATTAAACAGGAGTAACTTGATTATTTATTTGAATTCATTAGGTTTTAAAAAGATTCTGAGAAGCTGCACTATCGCCGGTGAACTTGTGTGATATACCTAATAAATTACGCGAGTCAAACTACGGAGGACAGCTAGTATAGGTATAATAATATTCAAACATAAATAATTATACTTTTATTCCTCTTATAAATAAAATAGTTTTTGACGCGTCGAGGGAAGAAGATTGAAAGTTTCAGGAAAAGTCACATTACGTGATTTTACGGAAACGGTGGATAAAGCGTATGGAGGTAGGAGATAGAACCTACCTCGTTAGCTAATGGAGGAAGTATTTATTATACTTATTCTAATTTACTTGGCAACAAGTTTTCGAAGGGAGGCCACGAACAGGTGGAGAAGAATGGGTCAAACGATCTGGTAGATAAAGGTCGGAAACCGGATGACCTAAAAGTCTTGAGGAAAGCCTATGTTCAACAGTGAACAGAGATGATGAGGACGATGATAATGAGCTAGCTTGTGTAATTTGGAATGACTAAACCCTAGGTCGTCTAAAGAAATTGTTTTGTTATAAAAATGACAGACTTTGGCGTGTATTAAATACATATTTATGAAGTACCTCATTTTAGGATTAATGGGTATAATACGGTAATTTGCAACTAGTCAAATTCAATACTTTTATCCAAATGTCAAAAACGATACTGTTATATGAAATTTATATGAAAATACAATTTATGACGTTATAGTATTTTTGCGTCAAATAGCTTAATTATTTCTTAAAAAATAGCTAAAAATATCCAAAATGTTGTGTATCGAGAGATTGATAAATCGAAGTAAGGTTATATATCACTTTCATACGTCGAATTAATTTATTTTTGATCTAGGAAACTACCCAAATTTCTGTTTTTTTATAAAGTCATACATATGTATACGTTAATATCGTCTATACTTACTACTTATTTTATGTGTTATTTTATCGGCTATCGTACAAGTTGTCCACGACTGCAAATTTGTTGGTACGGTACTGTGTGTTTAATATTTACCAATTAAACAAATCTTATCGTCAAATTTCTGTTTTGGTTAATAATTTTGTCATGGCTTTTTTTTTTTTTTTTTTTTTTTGTGAGGGGAAAATCATCAAATGACTTTTCCCGCCCAGGGCCGGGCAGGAGGGAGTGTCAGACTCTTACTGACTAAAAACCCCCCTGTTCCTTCTCCTGCTCTGTGCCGAGGTCGCGGTACCTCATTGCGCTTACCCCGCAACCCCGGCTGAACATCAGCCCTTTAGGGCAACGTCTGTGGTGGTCGAATGGCTCTTTGAGGCGCGCGCGGAACGCTACGCGCCGTACGCTCGGGCCTGGTTCTGGTCGGGCGGCGAGCTGCCCTTACTCGCCGACCGCAGGCCCGTGCTTACGGTGGCCGGAGATCGTCTCTCGATCCCCGACGCCCGTAGTGTCGCCAGTTGCGGCTGCTGGGGCGTGAGGAGGAGGATTGCTCCCTCACGCGGGCCGCCTCTCTCTTTGCGAGCATGACCGCTTCACAAAAGGAGGAGACGGCGTCCCAGTTCCTCTCACTCCGCACCATGGCCTCGACTAAGGCCGGGCGCGAGAGATCGCCGCCGCCGATCACTTCCCTGAGAACACGGCGGTGCTCAGCCCAAGCAGGGCACTTTTTGTTTTTTTTTAAAAAACGTTGCCCCACATTAGGATTTTCTCCTGTGTCGTGGGTGCGTTTACAAACATACAATGCCACATGCACATCACACCCAGACCCGGAACAACAATCTGTGGATCACACTAAGAGTTGTTCCGTGCGGGAATCGAACCCGCGACACGTTGCGCGGCAGCCAGTTGCCCAGCCACCGCGCCAACCGTGCAGTCAAAAAACCTTTTTACTATTTTTCCATAAACAACAATCAATCATAGTTCACTCCCTAATTGACATGCATCAATCATTTTGACAAATCAACTTGTATTTTGGTTCTCTATTATTATCTTCTATTTTGATTATTTTATTTTATACATTTAGTTAACATTGGATTATAGTTTAATATATAAATATGGTGAACATCGAATACAAAGGGGTGTCAAGTGTGAAGTCGCCGATACAATTACTGCGTAAGTTTAATAAACACAGCATTAAAATAATAATTAATATCTCGTTTTTCTTCAATTAATATTATAGTCTGAGTGAATATTAAGTTTATCATTAGTGACTGGTTAATTAGATATTACGACATTATTTTACTGTGTAACTAAACTGTGAAGGTGTTTATATAAATATTTATCATTATCTATTTACTTTATATCGCCAAGGTAAGTATCTTAATTAGCAAAGCCCTACAAAATTATTGCAATTGTTTGACTTTGTGGTCAACGAGTCTCTTAACAATACAAGTTTTCTATAACAATACAGAACAATACAAAAATTTATATAAAACTTTTATTTACTTTTAAAATATATGTATTTAGTGATGGTATTATAACTTGTAAGTAAGTTGTAGGGTGGTAGCCCATAGGCGATTGCTCCTCATGCACTAGGAGGGGCAAAAGGGTACGAAAAGTGGCAAGAACTAATGTGACTCTTTCCAAATTATATATACTTTTGAGTTTATTTAGACATAACCACTTACGGTGAAAGAAAGCATCGTGAGGAAACCTGGACTTGAATTTTCTAATTATAAGTTTGTAATCGCCAATCCGCCTCAAACAATCATGGCTGTTAATGCTAAACCTTGTCGGTTTCATTGCTCAAATAGTTTTATATTCCATTTAAAGTTTGGTTTCCTTCTTTTCTTTCATTTATTATCCATACAATCTGTGTAAAATTGGTGATCTAAGGCATTACCAAACATTCTACTCGCATAAAAATTGTATATGGTTAATGCATATACTACGATATCTATGGAGAATTACGCAAACGTGTAAATAAAAAGATTTATTAAATTATTCTAAACCAAACATAATTAGGTCAGCGACTTCATTATAAAGATTATAATAAACACATGTAGGTACTATGAATAAACTTTCATAAGGAGTGATTCATAGATATTTCGAAATTGTTGTTTAAGGTTTAATGTCGTCGCAATCCTTATATAAAAGATATAAAGAAATAAGAAATGTTTTCATCGGAGCTTCTCATAATCTATTATACGCAACCTTTTTCCTCTAATGATACTCATATTAATTGCTTTGCGGAATCGCGACGGGTTTGTTTATGTTTTAATGGCTTCATACTTTTGCGGCTGGTGTTTCCTGTAGATTCGAATTTATTTACAAGACGACAAGAGGTGTTTTTTTGAGGGGTAGAGAACAGGACATGACTTCTCTCGTTTTAAGTGGGGCGAGAGGGTGTGACAAATTCTTACAGACCAAAAACCACTCTGTTCCTTCTACTGCTACAGACCGAGCCCTCAGTCTTACTTTGATTACCTTATTATTTTGATGTTAAGCTATTCTTACAAAGAGAGTATTCTTACAAATTCTTGAAGGTTTTTGCCTATAACTTGATAGAGAGAATCTTGTGAAGGAGATACATTTAATTCAAAATAATTACAAGACTAGCAAATAAAATACATTTAAATATTGTTTTCTCAGATGCGGTGCCAGCGCGTTTCAATTTGTGGGTGATGCTGTTCACCAGCTGCTGGGTGGTGTACATGCTCCGAGTGAATATGAGTCTTAATCTAATCGCCATGGTACCACAAACACATTCAAATACCTCCGCGTAAGTATATTGCCAATCCTTCTCCACCCCCAATCCCTCCTCAATCCCTAAATCTCCAAATAGGGATTTGGAGATTTAGGGATCCCTAAAAGGTCGACAACGCACTCGTAACTCCTACGTTGCCGGTGTCCATGGGCGGCGCTGATTACTTACCATCAGGTAATCCGTCTGCTCGTTTGCCGATCTATACCATATAAAAAAACTGCTGCTTATTCATTATTGGCAGCCTTTAAATCCGAAAAAAGCAAAGAAAGAGGTTTTCCAAGCTAATTTGGTAATTAGATTCACGTACAAATTTGTGTTCGTAACGCGATTTCAGCTTGTACTTGTACCCTAATGCATAAATGGTAATAGCTTGTCTCCTGTCGTGTTAATTCCACGCAACTTCTATGGTTCTCTTATGCGTGCCTTCCTGAAGAATTACCTTGTAGTTGAATATGAATGAATTATACCTTAGTTGTTATCCTTAGATAAAATGGCTGCACATTCGGAAAATAACACAAAAGTCATGGCTGATTAATTTCAATTTGATACTTTTCTATCAGAAACCAGCTCAGAGATGTTTAGGTATAGGTATTTATTTTTAGCACGATGCACGAAGTAGATTGTGTTGACAACGTCAAGACCGTTACGATTAGGTATTTGCGTTTTAATTAATGTATACATTAATATACAAAAGTTTATTCAAAGCAAGTTGTCGGAGATCTTCCACTGACGTAAGCTGACGAGTACAATGAAACTTATTGCTTGTAATAATGAAAGTTATGATAAAGAAAAATAATATTTTTTTACGATGTCTCTATAATTAATGTAGGCATAGAAATACAGGAAGAACAATATCTAATTGAAAAGAGTAGTTTGTTTAATCTGTTTTGCTAGTTCATCGATAAAGTACATAGGTACCTACAGTGTACATAATAATATAACCTTATCAATCAGTTACGTAAAAGATATTTATTACAAAAAAAAGTTAAGCTATGAGAGTAATGTTACAAATCATAATTTTAGAATAGGAATAGCGCTAGGACGTTTTTTTACTTTAGTTGCGGAAAAGGAATGTACCTAGGTACATAGGTAACATTTTCCGGCATAACTATTTTTATATCTAAACAAACTTGCAATGCTGAAACTAAATTTCTCCACTTGTTATTGGATGTTATTTAACATACAAACTTACCTCTTCGATTCAATCAATCTATCTCTTAAAAAAGTCGCATCGAAATCGTTGCAAAGTTTGAAAGATTTAACCATAGGGACAGAGAAAGCGCCTTGTTTTATATTATTTGCTTAGTGATATTTTTCAGAAACATCATAAGTTACATGCTAATAATATCTATTAGCCTCAATATTCCCTGTCACAAAATGAATGTCTTGTGTAATCTGGAAACTTTTATTGAAGTTTACTTTTATTGTTTTCCATCAGAACACGATCCCAGTGTGGCCCGAAAAATGATGTGTTTTCAAATGAAACACTTCAACGAGTCGACGGTGTTGATGTCCACGCTGCCCATGTAAAGGTAATAAATAAAACACACATACCTACAATATTTTAGTAAAGAAACACTGTTTTCAAAATCCCATATGAGCTAGAACTTAGCAATCTTGGCGTAAGTTCCTGTTGTTGCATTTCTTACAATACACTTACTTAGTACTTACATTTTAATATGACCGCTAGATCTTATTGCAGAGGTTATGTTCGCTGTTTCTATTGCTCAAACAAACATATTAGATCCACGAGTACAAAGTGACGACTAGTCGATGAGCGCTTCAAATAATAAATACTCAAATATTTGATTTGATGTCACATAGTTTTTTCTGTGATATAGCGCTTATGGATGTCACTTATTTAACGTGCTTACCTACATAGGTACTTCTACTACCTTTCATGGTATACTATAAAGAAAATTAGTGCTATCCATCCTATGATGGTTTGATCGCATATATTTATTCAATGTAGTATACATTACTTCCTTAATCAAATTGAACTTTTAAGGAGTTAGGATGAGCATTTTATTTGTATAGTATACTTTTATTAGGTAATTAACCATAAGTAACCATGGACTTTCTTGCTCGCTCTTCACCATGGGCAGCTACAATTTGGAACGAGCAAATAGCTTCACAAAGAGGACTTACCGATAGACTGACACTTTATATCTTAAAAAATTTGTTTGACGTTCAAAAGTGCCTGTAACGGACTTATTGAAATAAATGATTTTGACTTTTAGGAAATCCCAGGAGGCGCGTCCTTTAACTGGTCAGCCGAGCAGCAGGCGTTGATCCTCGGATCATATTTCTGGTGTTACCCAGTGACGTCACTGATTGGAGGCATGGCCGCCGAGCGCTGGGGCCCGCGCTACGTCGTCCTCGTGTCTTCCCTCGCCAGTGCAGTATTGACAGCCCTCAGCCCATTCGCTGCAAACTTGAGCTATATAGCTTTGGTTGTTATAAGGTTCTTTTTAGGCTGTGCTGGGGTAAGTTGATATTTCTTTTAAAGTTATTATACACTATGACAATGAGATGGGTGTGTGTGTTACTATGAAGCGATTTGAATTAGTTAATATGAATTAGTTAAACCATAACTATCCTACCCCGGACTACCTGAAGTGAGGTGCATACGTTCGATGCTATATCAGTTAGTTGTAATAGGAATCTATTGCATATTCCCGTCAAATGCTTTCGAAACTGAAAAAATGCACAAAAATCTTTGTCGGACTCGTTGGGCCTTGATTTCCATGCGTAATCACTTGATCAACGAGGCAGACGGCCAAGGAGGTTCTAATATTTTGTAAATAAAGTCGAATGTTCATTTGTCCTTGAGCTTACGTCTTAGGATCAATGTGTGTCCGAAAAAATTAAATAATACGTCGTAGAAACCCAACCGCAATATTTGATGTATAAACTTATTTGAGTATTATTTTTAAATGTACAGTGTTTTTTAATGTTGAGAACCTGCATGTAAGATCTTTACTATAAATTTACAATAGATGTTATTAAGGTAGAAATCAAGTTACGTTAAAGGAGGCAGCGGTAAAAGATTCTACTCAGCATGTGAAATGGCAATAATTAAGGAATCGTTTTGGAAAATACTTGAATCCTTGTTATGTATTGTTTGACAACCATTTGTATGTAAAGGATAACTTGTTATACATTATGTTAATTGAAATTGTCAACTGTAGGGGCAGGTCACGTGTAAGCTGTCGTCCAACCAATATTTAATGAGTCATTCATGGACAAACAAATATGAAGTCGATCGCCTAATAGCCACATACGTTAAGAAAATATTTTCTTCCTCATATTTCGCAACGAAAACAATCAGGCATATTATTAGCAAATCAAATGGGATGGTAATTTTCTAATTTACCGGTCCTTAAGATATGCCTAATGACATTTTTAACCTTGTGTGGAATCAGATGTGTAGAGGTATTTGCTACCATCAAAACGGGATCGTTATTTAAACACGTTTGTAAACGGTAAATGATTGTTCTACTTTCCAGGGTTTTATATATCCTGCACTTCACGCGTTGGTGGCTCGCTGGGCCCCGCCGGCGGAAAAAGGCAAGTTCGTAAGCGCTATGATGGGAGGCACTTTGGGGACCGTTCTCACATGGTCACTCACCGGACCTCTAATGGAAAAGTTCGGATGGGCATCAGCTTTCTACGTACCAGCTGCCTTGACTCTGGTTTGGTGTTTCTTCTGGTGGTACCTCGTGGCTGACACACCCTCAGAACATCCTAGGATAACAGAAGCAGAAAAGAACTACATATTAGACGCATTAGGCGACAAGGTCAAGAAATCAAAGGTGAGATAATGTTTGCAATCTAGTTGTCATGTTAAGGTTAGTTTCGCACTTTGGCGACGTATAAGAATTATAGCGAATCGTTCGAATTTGTTCGTGTTGATGCTAATTGGCAAATATACATTCGGTAAGGCAAACGTTCAGTGAATTAAATGTAGATAAATATTAAAGTCTTCTAATGAAATGTATAGTAAAAACCCCATTGCATCATTTATAGTATTGTGTAAATATAAATGTTTGTTATGCACGTATGTGACCCTGTCTGTGTTAATTGAAACTGTAACATTTGCCACGTATTACAATAAATCTTTTTGTTTTCAGGGATTGCCACCATTCAAGAGTATTGTAACATCATTACCGTTCTTGGCTATGACTATTCTTCATTACGGGAACTTGTGGGGCTTATACTTTATAATGACGGTGGGACCAAAGTTTGTTTCAAGCGTCTTAGGATTTGAGCTATCAGCTGCAGGAGTAATATCTGCCCTTCCATACCTTGCAAGATTATTCCTTGCGACAATATTCGGAGTCGTTGGAGACTTTATATTGGCAAGGAAATTAATGTCGACGACAGCCATAAGGAAATTCTTTTGCTTATTTTCTCATATCTTGCCTGGGGTCCTGTTAGTGTTACTTGTCTACGCTGGATGTTCTACGGCGCTATCCGTGTCTCTGATTACAATGTCAATGGGATTCAATGGCGCCGCAACACTGACTAACCTACAAAATCATCAAGATTTGGCCCCGAACTACGCGGGAACCTTGTATGGAATCGCTAATTGTGTTGGCAGTACCGCTGGATTTTTCACGCCCATGATAACCGCATATTTTACGAGCTCAGGGGTACGTTTTAGAATGATGTATATTTTTGATACGATAACAATTGCGAATAAGAAATTGTACTGATTTATGTATTACTAAAACGTATATAATAATATATATATAGCTGTTGTTTTTAATTTCTCTATAAGTTAAAACACGTTATTTTCGCATTCATAATACAATTTTCTTTGGTTATACGTTTCAGTAAAATTATTAGTTCCAACTTAACGCTTAGTAATATTCGAAAAATATTGTATTAAAATAAGATTTAACTTTTTGCTTACAGAATAGTTTCGAGAGCTGGCGTCCAGTTTTCTTTGTGGGAGCATCAGTTTACATCATATCAGCACTATTCTTCATATTCTTTGGAACTGGAAACATTCAACCATGGAACTTCGCCCCTGAAGATAAGGGTAAAGATGATAAGTCAAATGGAGATCTCAAAGAAATGAACGGTTCGCCACCCAAAAATAGTGAAACGAAAGAGATAAAAGAAACCACTCTTAATGTGTCCAAGTAATATAAAATGGGTCTTAGCGAGCGCGACTGGGAATATAACTTTCATCTTAGTTCCGATCGTCGACATCATATCGATGTAAAAGATGTACTGCAAATATGTGATAAAGAAATAGATACTAGGATATAGACAGATTTTTTGCTACCACCTATATAAAATTACACAAATGACGGAATTGTATAAATAAGTGATTACTGAAGCTGTAAGAGTTCTATTATAGAGGTGTTGCTGTACAAATGAAGTGTTTGCAATGGTCGTTCCATTGTGAAAATCTTGGTTCTTGACATTTTTAATATAATCGAAAGATATGGTTCTTAGAATTATAAACTTAATAGTTGCTATATCCAGGGTATCTCTGCAATGTGCATTTATTTAGATTGGACCTAAGATACTACCTTGTGGGACGCTTCTATAATAGGAGCTCTGATGTTGACATGAATGTATATATTTTATTATAATCTAATGTTACTTGAAACTGACAATAATATTACCATTTTGAGCAGTTTATTAATGTATTATTTATTTTATGTACTTGCATTTATGTGTAGCTAATTAGTATTAATTGTGAAAATTATATTATGACGTAAATCTTAAAATAATGTAAATGCATTGCAATTGCTGTGATCTTTATTGAATTTATTGAAAATGTATCTAATGTTAATGATAATTTATATTCATATGGTAGATTGGAGGAATCCCCAGTGGTATAACATTTATTTATAGTTGATTAGTACTATATAGACTGCTATAGCCTCGCACTGTTTCACCGTGTAGGTTCTGGAAATGTGTAGTAGATATTTTATGAGCTGAGAGCTCCTTGATCTTGCCTTCTGTGGGACGACGAACTTATTTATCTAAAGAATTAAGATTATTAAGAATGTATACATGTATTTATCAGACATGAAGTGCAGACCATGTATATTAACCAAATAGATTTGATACTATTTTCATGTAATTTTTGTAAGATTTATTTTAAAAAATGACGAAATTATTTCTTGTTCAAGTTGGACTGTTTGTTTCTGAAATATTTTTGGAATTATGTCATAGTAAGGTTTTTAGGGTAACAAGTCATGACAGCTGTGTACTCAAAGATATTTCAAATGGGTAACATAAATAAATAACGTTAAAGGATTTTATTTATAAATGTGAAACATAATATCCCTATTTGCGTGTGATTTTTATTTCTATTTATGTTGAGATTTTCGTATCTACCTTTATTTTTAACCCTGAGGTACTCAAGTTGTGGATCTTAAATTTTAATTGACGTGAATTGAATTTGGTTTATTAAAAACACCATCAATTATTATGGAATAAACGTCGATTGTGATTTGTTTGTTTTATTTGTGAACTTTATTTTTCCACGCTTGACAAGGCTTTGTTCGTGTTTTGTGGATTGAACTAGCATATGTAATCCCAATATAATTTATCTCTTTGCTTTTTTCATCAGACAGATACTGTATATTTTTTAGAGACCAAATTAAAATGAATTTCCATTAGGCCATGATTTAGTTACAGTACTCAACATTGACATTTCACACTTATTTTTGGATATTGACAATGATTAAAATTAGGATACGTGTAATGGTGAGCAGATGAAGTATTTTGAAGTTATTCTGACATTTGAACTTCTTCCGATGTTTTTATTCTGTTGTAGGTGGGAGTGATGATATTTCTTGGATACTTTTTGGTCTATGTCGTTCGTAATAATTTGAGTGTTCATATAGTCGATATGGCACAAGTCATGCAGAGAGATGATGACCTTCTGGATGGGGCCAGTATTGCACTAAGGCGTACGATGAAGAGAACTGGGGTAGGGAACTTAGATCTTTAGCATATAGCGATATAGGGTATTACTTATTTTGTCATGTACTCGTAAAGGTAAATAAAATAAACGTTAGTGGATAGTTGTCGAAATCGTTTGACAGTTCTCTGTGAGTACATATTAAATCGAGTTCCGTAGAAGTTTTAATGCAAATAACAAGAGCTTTAAATCTTTTGATGATACCTACGCGTTACAATATGTAACGAAAATTATTAGACTTTATTACAGTAAGTGGTTTTGCATGGCTGTTTATTAAGTGTAGATTATCAATCGTTGTTTTAGCTGTCCCAGCGTCTTTTCATTATGAACCTATTTTCAGATGATGGACTTAATTAACTGGGATGACACTAAGGTTGGCAAATTGTTCTCGGCCTATCACATAGGCTATTGCATTTGCTTTCCCATCTTCCATAATTTTGGTGATAAGTAAGCATACTTTATGGTAATATCAAAACCTTTCTATTATGAACTCTTGGAAAGTTATGGTAGGTACTAAAATTGGTAATCCATATTGGTTAGCATAGGCGGATAATCTGATGGTAAGCAATTGGCATCGATCATGGACACAGAGTTACTGTACTTACGTTGCGGCTCTGGCCTTTCCAGATAGGAAAAAACATGGAATTGGGGGTTTGGGCGATTTGTCTATTTGAGGATATGGGAATATTTTTTGTTTTGTTTTGGTTAATACCTTCTGAACATAAAGCAATATATAGGTTAATGCCATGAATATTTTCGAAGAATAAATAAATAACTACGTACACCTACAGTGTTCATCTCGAGAAGCTTTAACATAAATAGATAATGTGTGTTAACGAATACCAGTGATTAAGTCGCGTTTCTGAACTTTCCTCGACAGCCATACGTAACCAACATTAAAATCTCGTAAAACACATGAGAGTCCATTAGCAGACCGCAAACTGCAAAACTTGAATGAATTTCCGAAACCTTTTAAAAATTTCGATTAGCTGACTGAATAAACTGAATAAATATTCAGTTAAATATTTAAACTAAGCAATAAGGTTTTCATGATAACATTTTTTGGTTACTAGGTTAAAGTTGTAAGTAGGGTCCAACAGGGCCGATGTCCGGCCGAGGATGCGGGGTAAGCGCAGTAAGGTATCGGGGCCTCGGCTTGAAGTAGGCGAAGGCACGGAAGGGGGTTTTTAGTCAGTAAGAGTCTAACACTTCTTCTCGCCCCACCTAATGAATTTCCCCTTAAAAAGTTTAGATTAGTGAAACAGGCTCAGCTTTATTCGTATTCCAGATTGGGGCCCACATGGGTAGTAGGCATTGCTGGATTGTTATCTGGAGTGTTAAGCTGCCTCACACCGGCTTCTGCTTATTATCACTTTTGGGTGCTGTTTTTGGTACGATTTATAAAAGGATTTTGCGCTGTTAGTATCTTTTACCTTTTCATTCTATTGTGATACCCGAATTGTATTTGTTCTTATTAGATAGTTTTCGTAGAATAGAATCGGAAGATATTTAATCACAGTTCAGTATATATTAAGTTGTATTAAAGTCTATTTAAACTAGAGCAACCCTCAAACAAATGGTGTTGAAGGAATCATTTGCTTCATGCTACGTATTCTTACGACTGCTATTATGATTAAATCTTTCCAGTCTTCTGAATAAAATGTTGACGATCATCGCACCTAATTATTGTTGCAAGTTTATAATTGCATTAATGTGATCCATCAGTACATGTTAACAAGTGTAATCTTCTAACAATGTAACTGTCATATAGGGTGCTATGCAGCCAAGCATGGTCCAAGTACTGAGGCATTGGGTGCCACCTATAGAGAGAAACCACTTTATGTGGGCTTACTGTGGTGAGTTAACTTAGACGCTCTCTCACTTACTGTATTAATTTGGATACTTATAATTTGTTATTGTGTAGATTTTTAGTTCATCTTATTAAATATAAAAATCAATGGGTATCAATTTTCCTTGGTCATTGGACCACGCGTGAAAAACAATATTGATTACGAAAAAATATTTATGTTGTATTTTCTAAAATCAGGAGAAAGTTCTCATTAAATAAACATTATATAAAAGCAACCCTTTAGATGTCGTGACTTAAAACGGGCCGCTAGATAGTCATACGATGGTTACTACTTGCATGCATTGAATTGATTTTTATCGAGTAACTACAATGCTTGGTTTGCATTGGAAATCGTCTGACTAACATCGAAGTACTACACACATGTTTTTGTCACCAGGTATCACCACAGGAACTTTCTCCACGTTTCTTATGTGCGCCGCAGTACATTACTACTCTCGATGGCCAATAGGTTTCTTCGTATCCGGGGGTGCGCAAATTATCTGGTCAATTACTTGGGTTCTTATTGTAACCGATTATCCTAAGCAACATCCCTATATATCTAATGATGAAATGATATATTTAACAAACACTATTGGTGACATATTTACCATTAAAGTAAGTGTTATTACATTTTTCAATTTATAAAACGAAATCAGTTCCATCAGGGTTATTTCGCAACGAAATTTGGTTTAAAGTGGTGGTATGAGCTATGAGGAAGAGTCATGTAAAAAATAAACACGTAGGGCTTACCAACAGTTCGCTCTACTTAAGAGATTTCATAATCGACAAACATTGGTGTATTCGATCTGGAAATTCAATCCAAGAACTTGTGCTCACTCACGCTTACGACTTACAAGGTAGTGGATTAAGGGTATGAACTCTTGCATTATCTTCAAGGACGTGTTGACGCACCTCTTTGGTGACATAAACAACATTATTTATGTAAATACAGGTGCTCCTTATACCTACATCAAAGTAAACAAACATGAGAAAGTTTTGACGTCATCAAGACGCTTTTAATTTTATGTGTTGTTTTCATCTATCTAGGTACGTAGTAATGTGGAAAATTTATCAAATTATATTCCAGAAAACTAACTCACAAGCTCCTTGGAATCTGATTGTTAGATCATCACCATTTTGGATGCTTTGTATTCTGAACTTTGGGTACTCGTGGATGATAATCTCGCTTTGTCTTTTTGGTCCACTGTATTACTCTAAGGTCTCCAAATTCAGCATTTACAGTGTAAGTAAATTAAAATACTGCATTAGAAATATAACTCTTTTGACTTAAACTTTTTCAACTGTGTTATATGACCTCTTTCAGGCATCAGCAATTACAGCTCTCCCATTTTTCTTGCGTTTAGTGTTGGGAACGATCCTTATTCAAGCTTTTCACAAGTACAAAAACAGGCCTGAAATCAGAGAAATTAATCATATTAGAAAATATTTTATTCTTGTCTGTACGTAGTTTTATTTATTTAAAGGTTTCCAGACCCATTTGCTTATCTTATTTACGGTCAATAGTTGTAGCAGTCCAATATTAATGTTGTGTAAAATAATGTAGGATTCCCTAATAACTTTAAATATTTTTGTTTCATTAAGCTCATGTGATCCCAGGACTTTTGTTGTGCGTTGCGTGGATGTTGCCTATCATACCAGGACCTCTTCTGCTAACCATAGCTGTTGCATTGACCGCTGCAGGAATGGACCTTACATTGGATCTGTGCTATGTACGTACGGCGTTTATTTTATTATAGCGTCTTAAATAATTGTGAGATTGCTTTGGAAATTTTATTAATACACACATTCATCTGAGAAGGTGTATTAATACAATTTTGAAAGAGAAAATTAATTAGCTATTTTTTGTTCAGGAGCTTTCGCCAATGTTTGTAAACTCACTTAATACTGTTATCAAAATAATTGGAAACACATCGGGCATAATTGTGTCGCTTTGTGTTGGGCAAGTAACATACAGATTTGGTGTAAGTACATGTGAGTTTAATCTTTCTAGGTATGTATGTGTATAAAAAATAATGACAAAACGTATCAATTGGCAAGCGCATAATTCAATAACACGTGGACGAATTTTTGTTTAAAAATTAGGTCCTTAGGAAGGAAAATTTATGGGTGTCATAAGCTTAATGTTGTCGATTAAGCTATTTTCTAAGTGATTCAATTTACGTAATTACGATGGGTTTATGTCTATAATATATTTGCAAAAACGGTTTGCAGTTTCACCTTGAAAAAAATTTGAAGTTAATTTACTCAATACTCAATACTTTATTGCATTCCATAATGTATACAAGGCTGGTAGGTAAATTACAGAGAAACAATTATGGACCCTGTCGGGCACAGCAAGTTAGTTTTTAGAGGAGAGGATGAAGCGCTTTTTGTTTAAAAACATAATAATATTGAAAATAAGGAGTAAATCTTATATTTAGATATTGAAGTAGATGTTATTTATGAGTAGTTTTATATTAATTTTGTTTATTATTAGGTAATATTTCTATATTAACTGAGTTAAACTAGAATGCTCATTCTAGGAAATCACAGAAGAAATAATTTATGTTCCTAATCAGTGGATAAGCCTTGGATGTATTGTAAAGGAATATTATAAAATGATTCGTCATCTTTAATATATTGTTCCTTACCTTTAGTTCCTGAACCACATTTCTAGTAGTTCTCTGGGTGGTTTCGTCTTCTGACCTGTTCTACTTGCCTACTAAAGGACGTGCATGCGTGCCATGACTTTCAACCTAGTTTACGTCCAAGCCTTGGACACAATACAACCATATATTTAAATACAATGCCCTGTATGTGCAATTCTTATATAATGTGGGTTCATACTAGCCGATGTGCAATCTGATGGATAGGTTTACAAAGAAGACGTGATTGTCCTGTTGGTCTACTGGTATCGATTTCAAAACTGAGCTCAATTTTCTATTTGCAAATGGGGTAGTAAAGAAGACGAGATGTTTTTTTATGTGATAGGACAGGAAACAAGCTTACGGATTACCTGGTAGTAAGCAATCAGCTCAGCCCCACGGGCGACCGTAACAACTGAGGAGGTAAGAGTGCGACCCCGTTGCGGGGTTCGGGATTTGGAGATTCCGGTAACCTCCGGTGTCTCATTGCAATTACCCTGCAACCCTGGCTGAACATTCATCCTATAGGGCCCCCGTCTGTGGTGTAGACCACCACAGACGGGGGCATGATGCTCAGCCCGAGCAGGGCACACCGCCACCATATGCTCCACCGTGGCCTCTGGGTGGTCCTCACAATGACGACAAATGTGCGTTTCATCTCGCTGGATCTGAAACAGGACCCTACGAGCTGCCGTGCCCGGTAAGCACCTGCGTCTGGCGGATAGTGAGGACGCCGTGTCGTCTCTCAATCCACTCCTCAAAGAGGGGTTTTACGCTGCTATAACAGCGTGGCCGGAGTTTTCTGTGAGGCTGTAGTATCATTCCGATCGAGCCGACTTATTCGTGCCGATGCATGCCTCTCCCACACTTAGATTTCTCTGATCGATTCAAATTGGTCCTATCCTACACAATATTTTTGAAGCCAACTTTAACTGTCCTTGGTCTTTCGTTATTATGGAAATTCCGAAAGATTTTTTCTTAAACAAAATATTATCTAAGTATATGACACAGAAAATTAGTTCTGATGATTTTATTATCTTCCGTAGAGTTGATTATCCTTTGGTTATTCTGTAACAAGTCACTAAGTAATATTTTATTTTAGAATTTTCCTATTGTCTGGAAGCATATATGGTGTTTTCATGCCCTAATATTATTGTTGAGTGGACTTATATTTTTAATATGGGGAGAAACTGAAATACAGCCTTGGAACCATCAGACCCGAAGAGTGTAAGCACTTTGTTAATCTATAAAAATGTTTTTGATTGGGGTGTTGAAAGATACCTATACCTTACTTACTTTACATTTATTTTTAATCTATATGATGTATATGTGATGTTTAAAATCTTTCAGTCCTCGGCGAAAATACGTGATTAACCCTTTACCATCAATAATGTCGAACATTTCTGAAGTCGAGGAAGGCAGTGTCAGATCATCAATGATAAAAATGCCCCAAAATTAAAATGCAAAACTTGTTAGGTATATTGACATGGTTTTAAAGTTTTTTTTTCGATTAGATAAACTAAGAATGACTATTTTTAAATACACACAGGAAAGTATTTTTGAAGATCAATAAAGACATTTTAAATTTAACCTACTTATTTGATTATCCTTCTCAAAATTGTGTTTGTTAACATTCCCTATACATACTTATGCTTATTTGGTCATTATCGTCATTATTCAAGAAATGTTTGTAATAATTATAATTATTTTATGCTTTGTCGGTGAAGTGGTTGTGGAACGGCCAAACAATGCTTTAGCCACAGCACTGAGTTTAGATTTGTGCCCTATGTATTGTAATAAATTTATCTCTTGTTAAAGGATATATCAGGGCAAGACCCTACCATTATTTTTTATGGTCTGCTCATCTATTTTTGTTAAAAGTCGTAATCGATGTCGTATAAACCAATGATTTTATGATTATTTTGCTTTTTTTGTGTGGCTGTATCTAATTATCTAAAAAATAGGCTTCAATATAGACGTAACACAAAATTAAATCAGAGAAACAATTTGGATTAATAAAGATACGCCTCCAACAACGTGGACCCAAATTTGTCCTCGCGTCGCGTGACATCATCGACTCATCACCTCCTATTCGGGCAAAATCTTGCCCTGGGCAGACACCAGTCTCTTACTCACGCCATTATAAGCCCTTGCTGACAGATTAAATGCAAAAATACCTACAAGAACTTGTTTATAAAATTGATTTCATCCCAATTTGCTATCAATTTTGTTCAAATTACGTGTCAATTAATTAAAAGAACAATACTTTACAAATAACTTTAAAAAGAATTGGGTAGTTTCCAACTATAGTTGAAAGCAATATTGTAGGCATTTTGAAATAACGAACTACAGAATACAAATATAAACTATATCCTAAAATCAATTAAAATATTGAAAGTAAATTATCATTAAAAATGGTGTTGTCCAAAAAACTACTCAATCCTGTGTAAAATAAATCAATTGTTTAACATTAATATGTATTTCAACTAAAAAGACTCGTATTCACGGCTCGAAAACCGCAATTTTTTGACATTTTATAATGACAAGTGGAATTGTTGTCAAATTTCCTTTGTCACTGTCGCTGTCAGAACAATTCATTTAAACGTAGTGGTTACATACTCTTTGAATTCATTCAATAGCCCTATTTTCCTATTCACTTGGGATTCGGTTGGTCAGCTATTTTAGTTCTATTGTTGACTAAACTGAATAATAAAGTGGATATAATTTATAAATTACAAAATGCTGCGCAGTATTGTGGAGTATTATGCAGAACATGAACAGTATAGATGTGGCTACTGTAGAAGCCCTGATACCAATTATAGCCATGGTAAGATTATAAACATTTTTTAACATACCTGTTTATGACATATTGTTAAGTGGTTGTATTCCTTCAGGTATGTGGGCTCATGCCATGACTGTGAGTGACTATCAAGATTTAATTGATAGAGGATGGAGGCGGTCAGGAAAATATTGTTATAAGCCTACAATGGATGTAACTTGTTGCCCCATGTATACTATAAGGTTTGTATAATTTCAATATAACTTGGTATGAATAACAGTATCAAACTTCTTACAATTTTATAATTATGCTAGTAATATTTTTATAATCTTTTTACATTGATTTACTACAATTTTTATTTAGGTAAACATTGTAACCAAAATTTTTCCCAATCACTAAAATCCTGAAATCAATCTTATTCTCAAACTAATGCAAAGAAGAAAGCTATGCCATTGAACCATAGCTAAAACTGTATGTTTAGTTTGTTCTGAAATCTTAATATAAAAATATTCAAATTTGATATTTAGATGCAGAGCCTTAGAGTTCAAACCAACAAAGTCTCAAAAGAAAGTGTTGAAGCGTGTAAACAAGATACTGGCCAGTCAAGATGCCTCTGCTCCTGCAGGAGATGGTAACAGAAAGATGTCCACCTGTAGTAGTGGTAGTGAAGTTCTTGCTGAAGGGTTTGAGGAAGGAGGTGAACAGTTCATTGAAACCATGAGAGACCATCAAGACTTGAACTTGGATGTAGTGAAAAATAGTGAACTGCTAAACAGCAGCACCGGGGAACAAGCTGGAGGTTCGTATTAAATTTATTTTCTATGATTAAACTCATATTAAACTTGTTTTTTTTTTTTATTTTCTTTGCAGTATTTTCTCATATCTTTATTTTTTTGGCATCCCTTATTCATGTAGCTAAAGTAAATTCACAATTGATATGTAAATTGGAACAGTATAGTTTCTGCCGTTGGTTTTAACACATTTTTACTCAACCCATAATAAACCATGTAAAATATGTAAGAATCTGAATTACATACTCTTTTTTTTGCTGCATCATCATAAAACTTGACTCATGTGATAAAGAAGTCATTTATACCATTGAATTGGTTTGGTTATTGAATCGAATTAAAAGATAGCTGATGGAAACTTTTTCATGTATCTTAAGATAGCCACTTGTAAACATATACTCTCTCTCTCTCTCTCTCTCTCTCTCTCTCTCTCTCTCTCTCTCTCTCTCTCTGCTCTCTCTCTCTGCTCTCTCTCTCTCTCTCTCTCTCTCTCTCTCTCTCTCTCTAATTAGCTATCTCTCTTTAATTAGCTTTCATTCTTTAGACAACATCCTGTTGATGTTGATAAACTATCATAAAACAATGTTTAAAAAATTTCACACTATCATATTTTCCCTTTATATTGCATTGAGCTAGCTGTACAGAAAATTTTTCTTGACTTAATATTAAAAAAAATAACAAAAGATTTTAAATCAAAGTGAAGAAAGACTCATGAATTTTAATTAAAATGAATTGCCACACTGATTACAAGTTATTAAACAATTTTGCAAATGTTACATTTTATGATTGTTTGATTTCAGATAGTATTGCCCAGAAAGACTTAGCAAAGAAAAATGAACTTAAACCTAATTCTTCACACGAGAAAGTAGCAAAAAAAGGTTTGTTAATTTATGTCACCTCAACCTAGTTCTATTTCACTAGTGTTGCCTTAGTAATAATATACATGTTAATAAAAGCACTTATGATGATGTGCATGAATCGAAAAGGTATGCTTGAATCATTAGGTTTGGGTATATTCCATTTTCTGTACCTACCCCAATGGTGGGACAGATGTGTTGATGACTGGTGATTCTGGACTTGAAAAGAGACTGACCTCTGAGTTTGTTTCGGCATTTCTTCTCAGAGTAGTCAGATAGGAAATGCCGGCTTCATCTAGTTTTTCACATATAATTTGACGTGTAAAAGTGCCGTTTTATGGCCTATTTGCAAAAATAAATTCATTGTTTCATTGTTTCATCATTGATGTGTATGTCGTTTACAACAGTATACTCCAGGTCTCTTTAGTATCAGCTGTTTTTTCTTTATTTTTTTTTTTATAAATATAATATGTAAATCACTGTTTAAAGTAAGACTTTCCTGTAACATTCAGGCCTTGAATTGTAACACAATTGAACCATTGTTACAGAATTATTCATTAGACTATTTTCATTTTTTTCCTCTAGTTTGAAAGAACGAACAGCTACTTTTATGTAGCGAAATGGCGTGTAAACTTACATTTACCAGTGCTCTGTTGAATGATTAGCAAAAATGGTAGCAATATTTCTATACTATTATTGAGAGTATTGGAATCACTAATTTCATGTCTATCCTGCTTGGGATGAGCACCTCCCTGTCCTCAGGGAAGAGATCCGTGGCAGCAACCTCTTGCACTTGGCTTTGGTTCACCAAATAAAGCTGCCCTCCGCCCCTCTCAATAGTCCAGAGATGCGCGTAGCGCCTCAAAGATTCAAAAGAGGGTCTTATTAAATAGGGCTGATTTACAGTCGGAGTTGCGAGTCAAGCGCGATAATATACCGTGGCCTCGGCCTAGAGCACCAGTAAGAACGGGGTGGTTCTTATTCAGTAATAGTCTGACACTCCCTGACTGACTGAGGACAAATATTGATTTTCCTCCTCATAAAAAACATGTTCACCACTTTGTAGTAATTATTAGTTTTTTTCTAGCATCTTCCTAGATTAAAATAAGTCTTGTTAAATAGTAATCCCTTTTTCTTATATTTAAAAGGTAATCCCCATATATCACGAGAAGGTAAAATATTCTTTTACAGAATTGCAGGACCAGGACTTGCCCGTTGGTGATAAACCCACACGTAAGAAGGCGAAGCAGTTTAGGCGAGAGAGGCGATTAGAAAAACTTAAAGAAAAGGGCATTACCGAGCTTCCTCCGGCCACGCCCCGGTTCAAAGAGAAACAGCTCGAGGACTATTTGAACGAGTTACCCGATGATGTCAAACATAAGTTAGAGGTAAGTCAACAAAACATTATTTTTTTCTAACCCATTGTCAGGTTTTTTCATCAGTGACCATTTAAATTTATTGTTAGGTAGTCAACTCATTAGACGTGTTTTCCCAATTGATAACGATCGTATGAATGAGTTGTTGTTCGTCAATTGTTTTTTGTAGTGCTAATTCGTTTGTTATGGTGAATCTGCTTTGTTGCGGTTGGTTGGTAACAAGTGCGATGCCTTTGTTGGGTTCGGGTTTCAAAACTTGGTTTCGAGCCCTAAATGCCAAATAGGCAGACGTATTATTTTATTGTACTAGTCAACTTTAAACTCTTAAAAAGTTCTATTGGACATGCATTTTTTTTATTAGGTATGTTGTCGAATGAGTAGACGGATTATCTAATGGCAAAAAGCAATTGGCGCCACCCATAGAAATCCGCAACACCAAAAGGGTTAACGAGTGCATTGCTGGCCTTTTGAGGATTAGAATATTTTAAGTAGTAAGGTAGGTAACCTCACTCATACGGCGATATACAACGCTGTGGTTGTTTCACGTACGGTTTTCTGTGAGACCGTGGTATCACACCGGTCGAGCCGACCTATTCATGCCGACGCTTGGCTCTCCCAAACTAAGAAATAAGTACTCAATTGGATTTATGTCAATAACGCTATTACCTACGTGTTAGTACAAACTCTGTATATAATTGTAGAGAGTTGTAGCCTACTATATTGCTTAGTTACATTAAATATTTTTTGTTTTTAGATAAAATTGGTTAGAACGGCTCCGCCCAGTCCTGAATGGCTGGCGACGTCGAAGCAGGCTCATGAAGTGTACGTCAAGTATCAGACGACAATACACGACGATAAACCAGATAAATGTACCGAACCAAAGTTCCATGACTTTTTAGTCCATAGTCCTTTATTGGTAAGTAATCCTTATTATTTAAATGTATTTCTATTCAACTTAATTTTAGGTAACAACGTACTTATACGTATTAACTTATTTATGACTAATCATATGTAAATATTATTAATAAACTTTATTTCAAAGCTTTAGTCATTATATATTTGCCCTACGTTAAGCCACACCTCATCTTATGGCTATATCCTAGTATTGTATAAGAGTAACAATTATTTGTGTACCTACTTAATAAATAGTGTACTTTATATTTTATTTTGTACTGGGCATTATTTTTTTAAATAAACAGACTATCAGAGAATGTTTCTAACCCGGTTTCTTGAATTTTCTTAGTAGACGTAATTAATTTAATTAATTTTCTGTCAGAATACAATTTAGGTTTCTTCAAGGCTAGAGTGAATAGGCTCTTAATAAACTAGTGCGCCTTACCATCAACGATTGCATCACTGCTTACCATCAGGTGGGATCGTAGTCAAGCACTAGTTTATTGCAAGAAAAAAAAAGACTAATGACCCGCCCCGGCTTTTCACGGCAGCAATGCCGTGAAAAGTTAGTACAATAATTAGTCCAGTCATCTTAGTAGTTTCACCTCGGATTTGAGAGTCGAAGCTGTATATTTTATCTTTTTTGTTGCTTATTACCTATTATGTTTAGCCGCATGTACACTATTTTATTAATTACTAGCTGACCCGCTAAAATCCGTCCATCCTTAAAATTATCACCAACAATATCACTTTTTTTACCTGTTTAGATTGTATGGGAGTCTATTTGTATTTTGTATGGGAAAGAGAATTGATGGTTTAACTTTCTTGCACTTTATTCATGTCAACAAAATTTTTAAACCCTCCCTGAACTTCTACGAATTTTACAAGACCATTTTTTTACTATTCTCATGTTTAAGAGAGCCGTAACTAACATAAATAACTCTTTATATAGAAAGATTATTATTGTGTTTGTTTTTGTTCTTAGGAAGAACATCCTGAGGATGGTCCAGAGAGTGGGTACGGGTCGTTTCACCAGCAGTACTGGTTAGATGGCAAAATCATCGCCGTCGGAGTTATAGACATACTACCCAAATGCGTGTCTTCTGTATACTTCTTCTACGACCCCCAGTATATGAACATGACTTTAGGAACTTATGGCGCGCTGAGGTGAGCTACTGACATTATTAAAACTAAAATAGACACTCTCTAATCGTCAAAAATGTCGTAGTGTCGAGTAGTTGGCTTTAAAGTTTGGCAATTTCTGCCAGGTGATTTGCATTTTATTGAATGACGCTAATATCAATAATCGATATTATTCATTTTTAGGGAGATCGAATTCACAAAACAATTGCACTCTGTGTGCCCTAAAATCGAGTATTACTACATGGGATACTACATACACTCTTGTCGTAAAATGCGGTATAAAGGAAACTTCTTCCCATCTGATTTGTTGTGCCCGGAGACCTATAAGTGGTTCCCATTGGAAGACTGTATCCCTAAGTTAGAAGCGACACCATACTCGAGGCTCAATCCTGATGTGGACTGCACGGATGATAATTATCCCGAAGAAAGTGACTTGAATTACATCCCTATGTGGGTGAACGGAGTAATCATGTTGTACAGACATTACAAAAGGCACACAAACGCCAAAAACAGTGATACTGAAGATCTCATGGAATACGCGCGTCTGGTCGGCACCAAATCATTAAAGAGTTTAATTTTAGTACGATAGACTTATATGAATTTATAGTCCTTATTTCAATCAATTTAAAAGCCATAATAGAGTTTTAATGTAAAGCTTTTCAGTGTTTTTAATTCCTTGCAGAAATCTGGAGTGTTTACGTCAATGAAATAAACGTTTAAATAAAAATATTTATTACTTGTACTTGAATTCCACCAAACTTAATTTTTATGTGTGGTACTTTCGGGTTTTTGTGTCTGTTTTTGTATGGGAACCGCATTGATATTTAGATTTACATACATAGCTACATTAAATAGTATTAATGTATGAATTAACGAAGCGTGAATCTTGGAATCTTAATAACATGTCGTTCTTTTGTTGTGAACATGAGAATGGCGGATAGTTAGTAATAGACCTTGTAAAGGGAATGGCTGTCACACTACCGGCTCGCGTGTCACCGTGTCACGTCAACTTAATGTAGACCTATACCTACATGGCATTTGGTCACATTTTACTAAAGAGACGAAGCTCTCTTTATGCCAGTCAGATAAGACATTTTGAATTTACCAACTTCATTGCTGTACAGAACGAAGCTTGTATGCCGAATAAATGTAACTATAATTTATTGATGTCATACCTATCAGCATAAAAGTATTTGCTACACACAGATACATATTATATTCTGCCCGTTACGATTTTTGACTAAGCAGATTTCTAACACAAATTTATTTGTATTAATAAGCGGGCAAATCTAAATCAAATTAGAGCAGTTCAGTTAACGATGTATATTCTAAATTAAGTTACTTGCAATAATTCGTGTATAAGTCCGATAAAATAGTATTAGTCAGGGCTGATTTTTCGATAACATTTATCTGACTATTGAAAAATCAGTCCTTAAACATGTAAACAGTGTAGATTCGGTTATGTAATCAACTAGCTTTTACCCGCGGCTTCTCTCCCGTCATTTTACTACCTAACACTACCTTACCTATTCTACCTAGGTACCTACAGCGACACTACCTATCATATCCTACGTGACCAACACTACCTACTCTACCTTATCCTATGTTCTTCTGGTTGTAAACTACTTACCCACCAATTCTCGGTTAAGCCCTTCTTGAACTGTAAATAGTATAACTAACACGACTTTCTTTTACATAATCTGTATATAGATTTTACTCTAAATGTATAGTATACCTCATAGCATACCTACCTTGGTCTAGAGGTGATGCGACAGCAATTAAAAAATCGAAACTAATCCGTTAGCTAGAAAAAAAATAGGCACGTATTTTGCCCTTTAAGAAAACAGTAAGTACTTCATATTTATAACAAATTAAAGTTTGGAAGTGAAGGGCCTTTACGTCACCGCTCAGTACTTATTATAATATGTAGGTACTAAATAGTAACGTAACATAATATTTCAAATCAATGTATCGTCTACACTATACGTATTTGATTCTGTAAGAAAAGAAAAGATACGTGCCTGATATTTCAAATTAGTGTTGCAATAATAAAAAAAATTGTAATCAAACCTGTCACTTCAATTAGATTTTATTAGATAGGTTGAAAAAATGTGTAACATTGCCATTGATAATTTACAGTGTTATATCGCAACAATGATATCTGAAATATAAAATTAAAATAAATCCTAATCATTTATAATTCCCAAAACTAAAATCGACGCCAAATACTCAAACTCTAAAAATACATTTGACCTCAGAATACACTTCTAGAATTTTAACTAAAACCGAAACTGGCTAATGTTCTATTTTTACTTATTTGTATATTTAAATCAGCTTGTTAAATAAAAAGAGGCTGTATACCAGTATAAATGGCAATAATTGTAATAGTATGGATTTTGTTTCATATTAGTATTTTTCAAGCCCTATTAACCCTGTCAGGCCCCCTAGGCAATGCAATTCCCAATGCCTATTTTCTTTGGGAATAAATGTAAACATTTTTAGAAATTTTCAATAGATGATAATTAATAGGGACAATGATTGAAGGAAGTGTTTTTATTTTAAGGGTCTAAAGGTATTGAATTTTCGTTGCAAAAACAAAAAGTAACTTTTCTTGCTAAACTAGTGTCCTACTCCAAAGATCCGGGTCTCCTTCCTACTTAAATGCTTCTAGATATTATTAGGTTGAGTATCCGGCGTTTATCCCACCTTAAATAAAATGTATAAATAATAAGCACTACAGTAATATTACCTACACTACATGTACTTAACCGCATTGTGTTTAGTTAAATTATTAACTAGTCATGTTTACTTCCTCTAGTTTGCGTTATTACATGAGTTTATTTTGAATATACCTATAATACACATTTTTTGCGTTTTATTTATATAAATGAGTATAGCTATACCCCCATCCCCAGTAGATTAGCAAGTATATTAGATAACAAGTACTTGATAATTCCAGGTTTTTGTAGGTTCTAGTATGTTGGAAAGGTAAGTATTTATTTACACTTATTTTTAGTAAATTATAATTTATAATTGATTATATTTATCTATTTATCCGCCGTACAAAAATCGGTTTCTAATTAACAGTTTTTTTGAGTTTATTGTAGATGTATTGTGTGCCACAAATCTACAGTTTTTTAGAACAAAAATTCCACACACATAGCTCAGCAAGAGCTATAAAAAATTTCAAATTCGAAAACCTATAGGAGTTTTTTTAAGTTTGAAAGTTATAATTCAGTAGGTACGGCTGACCGGCTCTCCCGGAGTGGTACTACACCCACACAGAAAATTGACGGGGAACAAAACATATTCCATAAAATAATGATTGTCAATGTCATAGTTGAAATTAATTTTGGTGATGAACATGTGCTGTAGGTAGGTACTTACCTACCTTTCTAGGGTTCCGTAACCAAAACTAAAAAAAGAACCCTTAAAGAATCATCGTCATAACTGTTTGTAGGCCGTCTGTATGTCACAACCATTTTTTATACGAGATCTTAATTACTATACTCAGGCACAGTTGAAATTTAATAAGTAGATGTACCTACCATGCACTTTTTCTTACATACGAAAATCTTAGCGTAAGCAACGGGCAATAAATTATGGGCAATTTCCATAATATGTTCCTCATCTACTTACTTAAACTAGCACCCTATTTTTTATTCATATCCATACCTACCTACATAGGTCTTCAAAATGAGTAAGTAGGTACTGTGGTTTCTAATCTGTTTTTAAATTAAGGTACTACTTAGTTTGAACAAGTTACGCTTTTGATGGTAAACTTTGTGTCCTCCCGACAAATGTAAATGGAAGGTACATTATAATGCAAACTTCCAACGAAAGTTAGTTTGAACGAGATCTAATAAGTAGTTTTTTTCAAAATTCAAAATTATAACATTTCTGCTACGGAACCTTTCATATCTGCTTTCCGCACCGCTATTTTATCTGAATTATATGTATCTATACTACTTAGAAGTAGTTGTCAAATCTTTCAATAGCTGATCATGAAAACAAATATGGACACGTGTCTTGGTTCATGACTTAAATACCTTTAAGACGATTATGAAAACAATGATCTTGAAAACAATGATTGAGATCTCAATAATCTTAGAATTTTGAAAAATAGGTATCTATTGTTGCCTATCTAATCTATCCTTATATAATCGATAACAATGACAATGTCAATCAATCTAGATTAATCGATTAGGCTGCTAATGTTGTTGATATAGAACTTGGGAAGAACGGTTTTAAGTAGATAAATCTTACGAGGATCTTACCTTATCTTTGAGTATTTGCATTTTACATAGGCAGGTGGTTCTGTTACTATCTATCTACCGTTCATCTTTGCATACAAATGCGTAAGTATTTTGATGACACGTGATACTCTACGTCTGAAACAAGAGATTAAATTGCTGTTCAAGATAATAAGTCTTCCTTGCAGTTGTCTTGCGTAGGTACCTACTTAATGTTGTTTTTTATTCGGGGTTTCGGTTTCGAGTTCCAAGAGTTGGAACGGGGTCGTTTTAAGACATATCCTCTCGCCTCACCCAAGATACGCGGGTCATGACATTAGATGATTTCCACCCTATCGAATCTTATCAAGTACCAAGTAGTTCTATATTGTTCAGGGATAATTACGTATAATATAATTCAAACCGCCCATGCACCTACGGTAATGTCAACCTATCAATACCGATATAAAAAAAGAGCTAAAATTTGTATGTTTGAATGTAGGGAGTAATCTTTGGAACTGCTGCTTGGATTGCCAAAATTCTTTCACTGATAGATAGCTACAATGTTCCTGAGTGCTATAGGCTATATAAAACACCATGCTACGATCAAATAGAGCTGAGCGGCGGCTAAAACAGCGCGGGAGTAGTTAGTGTGTTTATACAAATAGACAATCATGAACGTATGTAACTTAAAAAAGGTCTTAACGTCACCCTTTTCGTTACCTACCTATCTTCTAAACAGGGTGTTTTAACCGGATTAGCTTTGTTAAAATCCCTACCTATATTAAATTTAATATCGCAAGTAATTAGTAATTAGATTGTTTTTTTAAAAAAAAGCTTGTTCACGTAAAGTTTTTACATAGGTGGACTTAATACCGTTCGTATTATCTACCAGTCTCCTTTTGGGGGATTCAGAAATAAGTAAAACAGTGTCTGCAAGCAATGAGAAATTAATTAGACTACCTATATTAAAAAAATACTCAATATGTATTTTTAGTGAATAAGCGATTTAAATAAATTCAAACAACAATATACCTACTTATAACTAAGTACATAAACGTAAGTACCTATACCTAAAACATACCTATTTACATAATTTTTATATGTAACAATATCGAGCCGTTAATTACAAAAATAAAAAAAAAAGATTTCGTTGCCTTGAAACATCCACCTTAACTGATGGTTATGTAATGTGGTAATGATTTCTGGTTTAATATCTATCGGTGTTAGGTAGGTACCTACCTACCTACATGGTATAGATATATCTATGGACATAAATTTTTTTGTGGCAACAAAAAAATACCATTTTCGAATCAAAAGATAAGTTCGGGCGGAGACGTGTAATATTTTTGTGTTGTTTATTTTTTATTTCACATGGAATAAATTTACACCGGGATCTTGTCCCGCATCCAGAACTGGTCTTGCGAATTGCGATACGCGTAAGTCCTCATCGTTCATGAGAAAACGAATAAAAAGTGTTCAACATTGCAAACCGCTTGAGAGCAATGACATTTTATTTAGATCTTGCCTCCGATGATCCGTAACTGTTCCTATTATTGACTTTGCGTTCTATCTCAAATATATGTTGTGATAGGTTGAAATGAATATTAGGTATTCTTTAATTCTTAAAAAAACGTTTTGAACATAGGATTTTTTTCCTGTATCGTGAGTGCGCTTAAAGACATACAATTTCATATACACTGGTATAAAGTCTATGTTAGAAGGTTACGCGCATTTATAATCGAACAGAATTCATTATTTTATAGATTATCAAATTGGTATTAATGTATTTTTTCTGTTATGTCATGAATTAAGATAAATCAGTCAAAAACCTGCTAATCCCCTAACCAACCTAACGAGATAGTGAATTTAAATTCGTCATTAGCTAGATACACAGCGAAAGTGTAAGTGAACGCGTTCATAGTACAGGGAACATAAATTAAAAAATAAAATATAGTTTTTATTACAAATAATTTATTACTTTTTGAAAGTTAATTTCGTTACTTTCACTTCAGTAGTTTCTTATATCTTTTGTCTAATAGGACCTTCGCTTGCTTCAAGGTGAGGCGGCTTATAAACGTAAGCACATAATACCTCCTTAGAAGTAGGGACTGACGGCCTCTGGCCACTGACACTAGCGGATAGTATTTTTTATTAGCTTCTGTGTAGATAAAGCGAACTGGTTTACGCGTTTCGTATCGTCTAATTAATTATTGTTACGTTTTTCCTTTTAAGTTTTTCATGTGAGCTTAGGGCCAGTGTAGGCATTCCAATGAGGTGATCGCACAGGGCTTTTATGGTCGGGTTTATGGATACCTTTTGTTATAAACCACAAAGTTCTTAGCGAAAAGTCCGCTAATTAGCCGTCTATTTGTACGTTCTAAAGGTACGAAACCAAAGAAGTAAGTATGGAATGATCGGAATTCAGACCAAAAGTTCCCCGAGTTCACGTCAGACAAGTTCAAGTATACATAATGTTCATTTTAAAAATATTATTGAAATTAAAACTCAGCAATATTTTGCTACGGCTACCAATGCCTCTAGCGTAGCAGTACATTATTGAGGGTGGGAGAGCCAAGCTTCGGCACGAATGGGTCGGCTCGACCGAAGTGATAACTTACTTACGTAAGGTCGGCAACTTAGTCAGTGTCGGCGTTAGCGGAGGGCGTGATGGGGCGATGGCCTTTTTTTTATTTGTGAGGGGAAAATCATCAAATGACTTCTCCCGCCCAGGGTCAGGCGGGAGGGAGTGTCAGACTCTTACTGACTAAAAACCTCCCTGTTCCTACTCCTGCTACCTATAGGCCGAGGTCGCGGTGCCTCATTGCGCCTACCCCGCAACCCCTGCTATGAGGCGATGGCCTAGGGCGACAATATCTGAGGGGGCCAATATCTGAAGTTGGAGTCTCTTGCCTCTGCTGGTGCAAACAGTCAGAACTGTGCTCTACGCTCTGTGCATATGTATATTTTTTTTGAGATTTTTTGAATTTTACTTGGGATCAGCAAGAAACTAATATTTGATATTGCTTCCCTCAAGTGGGCGTTACAATATTTTCGCCCAGGGTGTCAGTGGCCTTTACGTCGGCTCTGAACTTAGTAAGGGCGATAGAGACAAAATAAAATGAGTGTGGTGTAGGTAGGTGCATAAAAAAATCTCCAAAGGTTTGTTTATCTCTACAACCGATAAAATATGAATAGGGGAAAACAATCGAACGACTTCTCTCACCTACTGTTTCCTTTCTACTCCAGACCGCGGCTGCTTATATTATTGCGCTTGCCCCGTAACCCCGGCTGAACAAATTGGTTCTGTTAGGCCCAGGGCCACTGACACCCCGGGCGAAAATATTGTGGCGCCCACTTGAGCGATGCAATATCAAGTGTCGACCACTTGATATTGCTCTTACCCTTTAAAATACATAAAAAAATCTCAATAAAAAATATGCACAGAGCGTAGAGCACAGATCTGAGGGTTTGCACCAGGAGAGGTAAGAGACTCCAACTTCAGACCTTGGTGCCCCCCCGGAAGCCATCCCCCTATCACGTTTCATCAACAAACTAGATTCAGACCAATTAGATGACTAGGCCACGTACACGTAAAAGTAGTAGGTACTTATTACTCAATACTTTATTAGGAAGGTATTTTTATTATTATTTTCTCCCATAAGACCTTCTCTCTACTTTTAGCCGAAAAATAATTAGTATGCTTAAATACTTAAGCTTTAAATAATTATTGGAATCAGTCTAGTCATTGATGTCTAACTAAGATATACATGTTTTCCTACATATATTTTTTAAAGCTGAATCTGTTGTCATTGTATGAAGAAGAGCTTAAGAAAAAACATGAAACTTACATATTTCATTAACCTTTAATTAGGTACTGTTTTCTAAACGGGGAAGAGTTAAATATCTTGCGTACATGTGCCAATAAAGACATACAGGCATTAGAAGTTCTTAGAATAGACTAAGTTGTAAACCAAATGAACCTTCCGACTTTACAATCAATCAGGATTTCTTGGAAATTAAGCTGAATGTCAAGTAGATACGGCACTAGTAACATACTCTTAAGATCGAATTTAAATGCATCTCTCACTTAGATATTAGTGAAGAACATACAGTCTATTTAATTAACAGGTCATTTCACCAAACGTAGATTAGTTTACCGACATGTTACATAGATGCATGTATTAGCACTGGCTGTCAAGTATGCGGCATAGGTTTCAAGTTACGACGTTGATGCTAATGCCAATTGACGATCGGATGTTTTGAAGTGGCACGCGAGGTGAGGCCTTCGTTGAATGCAGTGTGCGGATCTAAAAGCAGGCGACGATCAACCATCGCTGCGGAGCAAGGCAGTCGCAGGAAGACAAGCGTGCGCGCAGCCCGCTAGTATTCGCAACCTCCGCCGCGCGTGCGTGCTTAACTCAGTGCGACCGTTTGTGTTCATTCCATGTTACGTGCATAACACAACAAAATGAAATTCCATATTAAATTTTTCGGTAAGTTCAACTTAACGACTTTATAAAAAAATATGAGTTTTAAATAAAAATGTATTGATGCTACAGCGATGGTAATTGAGACAATAATAAATAATTAAACGTCTATTTTACATCAATTAAATCCGCAATCAATATTTACAATGACAAGATAATTTGTGCCAACAGATTTGGTCGGTAATTCCCATGAAGTGGTTTTTATTTGAAAACTTCAGTGAATACGTAATTTTTTGTTTTTATCAGACAACAAGTGGAGGCGAGAGGTGTTGTTAAAAGTGATTAACGTTAGTGACCGTCAGATACTTATAAACTTTTTGCGTGTTTTGTGCAGCGAATTGTACCTTCTAGGTTCAAGTATTATTGGGTAATTAAATCGAGGTAAATGCAGCATGAACACACCAGTCGTAGAATCTAGGCGATTATATTCAAATCAGTCATATTGAAAGGACTCTTGGTACCGTACTGGTGTTATTGTTGTCAATAGTGTACCTATGTGCACATTGTTGATATAGTTAATACTACTTTTATAGAAAATATAAACACGACAAAACAAAATGTATGAACACAAACATTACTACAGAACATCTATGCTTTCAGAACCCTTAGCTAATGTATCTATGCACCTGCTTTGCCTCAAAAGTAGAAGCAGGGATAACTATATCTAGCCTTAGTTTAGCGTACACTAGTTTCAAACCCACAGTGTAAGATAATAAAAAATAAGACAGAAAATAAAAGAAGTACAAACTAAACCTGTTTTTGATGGATGCATCATAGATTCAGAATAAATTTAATTGTTGTCTATCATTCCAAATTAAAGTCGTTTAATCAATTTTGTAAATTAACACAATAGTAAAAACTGGTGCTTACAATGCTTAGGTTTTTTATGGTACACAAGCAGACGCATTACCTGATGGTAAGCAAACATAACACCAGATAAATTACGAGTGCGTTGCCAATCTTTTTGAGATTAGGGTTACGGAGATTGGGCCTCCCGTAACCTCTCTTTCACGGTGAAACACAATGCTTTATTTTTTTCAGTGTTCTGTGAGCCCACGAAGGCCTCACTTAGATCGATACCCATTCGTTCTGAAGCATGACTCTCCCACACTTGATCAGTAATACATACCTAATAATAAGATTTATTGCTAGAGATTTACTCTGTTTTTATCGATTACAATAGAAACTTCATAGTAAATAATGGTCTTTATATACTCGAACATCAGACGAATAAATTAACAGCTGATAAAACATACCGAATAGGTACAAATGGTTACACATAGCTAAGTAGATACTTATTTTATTTATTTAAAATTCGTATTGAATTTAAATAGTAGAATTACAAAAAGTCGTATAAGAGGAGCAGGTTTTATGTGAATTATTTTTTATTTATTTTTTAATATAGGCACAGAAAATACCCAAAAGTCGGCAGATGTAGCAGACTAAATGCTATAGGTATGTGGTATTCTCAGCTCTATCACCTTTAGGTCAAGAATAGAAATCAGGGAAACTGTGTTGGGAAATTGGTTTTGTAAACAAACAGGAAAAGATAAGTATTAATAAAAGTATACATATAAGTGTGTACCTAAGTTTGAATATGTAGTGGCTAAAATTGATAAATACACAATATAAAGAAAGTTACATATTAGGCTATATTAGGATACATCAAATTGAATATATGTATTATTAGATACAATTATTATTGATGTCCAAACCAGTTATTCTTTGGAGGTTACCGCGGCGTTGCCCATAAGTAGGAGAAAGAACAGGGTGATTTTTAGTCAATAAGAGTTTGACACAGCCTCTCGCCGAAACCTGGGCGGAAAAAAGGAGTTACTTTGTGACGCTAATGTGTTATTCGATGGGTTTACTGTTTTGCCATGGAAATCTCGCCCTGGTAAAAGGTATAAGTTTTTGAGGCTACGAAACATATGCGGTCGTTTCTTTTTCTTCGTTACGAGTCACTCGTGTATTCTAAAATAGGTAGATATGTGTATAGCCAAGGAAAAGTTAAGAATCGCATCACAACGCCTTAGTAATATGTAATATTTATTTATTGTTTATTTTGAAGTATATCTTAACTTCTCGTGTCACTACGATAAACACTTGATATGATAAACATCTTTGTATCATATGAGAACATTAGTATCAAAATTAAATAACAATAGAATTAGATAGTGTTTCTTCGTACACACGAAGTTTTCATTTTCCGGATTTATTTTGATATTTTCCCTAACCTATTCAATATGATGAAACGAAATATGATGTTTGTGTAGATAATGTTTTTCTCTCTTTGGTTCTTCAAAATATTTATGTTATGAGAACTGTGGGTTGTAAGAATTTAAAGCAGTGGAAGATGTGGTGCATTTGTTGACTGAATGCGAAAGGTTTCGAGCTGAGAGAGAAGAATTAATGATTAGCTTACAGTTATACAAACATAATATAGGATTGATTCATGAAATTTTGTCTAAATACACCAATATCCGACGGCGTTAAAAGTTTCTACACATTTGTTTGCCTTCAGTTAAAGTTTATTTCGTTTATTTATGTGTAAGGATGTTTGTGAAAAGGTACGATAAAGGTAAAGTCCCTTAATTGTATAAAGAATAAAAAAAAATTAATTGAGAAGGAAAGGTTAAAAAGTAAAAATTTAATATCATAATATTTAGATGTTGGTTTTCTCTTGGAGAAATAGCTAAGTAGGTACATATAGTCTCTCATAAAAAAAACGATTCTCCGAATTGTTATGTTTGCGGGAAAGTTGAAGATGTGCATCATATTTTAGCGGAGTGTGATCAGAATAAAGAGTTAAGACGTCGATTTTTTGGTAAAGAATGTTACAATATAGGTTTTTATATAAATTTTCTATTATCTCCACTTTGTGAAAGAGTTAAGGTACTTATTAGTTTGGTTAAAGAGGGTCTAAGGCGGAGATCATCTTTGCCTTAATTCTTCTTTTTCAAAACTCTAAATTAATTTTTGCTTTGTGTACGGAGCTTCATATTTGTAATTGAAAATTAGCTCTTTAAAATAAATATTGAAAAAAATAACCTCTCTCATATGGCTAAACATATGCGCGATAATTGGTTCACTCCGGTTTTTCGCGACACCGTGGTTATCACTCCGCTAGAGCTGGCCCATTCGTGCCATAATACGGTTTTCCTACCTTAACTAGCAATATAGTTAAACGATAAAAAATGTTATATTTAGAAATAGGTAGCTACAATGTTTTCAGTTTTATGCCAAACCTTGTTATTTTCCTTTTTAAATAGAAATGTAGCGTTAATAATTGAATAATGGCGTGACTTTGCCATGGTGCCGGTCAGGTTTGAGTGGCACGTCGGAAAATATTCGTTTGTTAGTTCGATATAACAAGAGGATTATGTATGTAGTTGAGAAACTTAATGTTTATATTTATATTGTAATGAAAAAATACATTGTTGGCTTATATGTATATACGCCTACCAAATAGGAAACATATAGTTACCACAGCGTATGTGTTTTGCTGTGTGAGTGAAGTTACCGGACGCCCAAACGTTCTTCCCTTAATCCCTAAATCCCTCATCTCCATAAGGCCGTTATATCCTCGTATCTCCTCTGGGTATCCATGGGCGGCGCCGTTTGCTTACCATCAGGTTATCCACCTGCTCGTTAGTCGTCCATAAATATAACATTAAGAAAAATATATAAGGGGGACTTAATGCTGTATGGCATTCTCTCACAGTCAACCTTACGGTTATGAGGTAATAATTATGATTAGTAAGCTATTAATGCACGTGATAGCAGATTGTGCTTCGATAACACAATTAGTAGGTATAATGCGACAAAAACGTATGCCGTCTGGTTCTTGAACAGATTACTTTGTTGTTATTTACTTAGATTATATTTATAGTAAAACAAACTTGCCTATATTGATGTTGCAATCATGCCATTACAACTTGACATCCAATTAGATGTGTGAACATAGGCAATAATATTTGTTCAAAGCATAAAAGAAACTTGTTTTTATACGCGTAATAGGTAATAATGGTGGTGATGTTATGCGAAATCATCAACTGTCGAGAAAGAGAGAGCGAAATCCAAAATCGAAACGAGTTAGGTACGACTTCAATGAAACTAAATAAGGCTCCAAACCTAATGGAATGAATAGATGATTAATGTTGGTTACAAACATCGTTATTAATGGCTTAGTTCGCAGAAAACTTGTGTTTTTTTTACAAAATACATGATACCAACAATATTATGCACGGCTTGTGTTCGCCGATAATGCCCTTGGCGGAGACCTAACACGCTTGGTTCCGTCCTTATGGTTCAGTGATTCTCATCAGTTCCGGACGATTGCTAAATGGTTGTTCACCCAAAATGACGATTCGGTATTCAGATTTTTACCAAGCCATTTCAATTCAGGTAGTTGCTGTTTATAGTTTATCACATTAAAGAAATAATATTGTTATCTAAATTGTAGGTACTGTCTTATTTGACTAATGATAATGTTTTTTCACATAGGTACACACTACACAGATAATTATTCTCATGAAAGATAATATTTAAGACATGCAAATCCTATAAATAAGAAAAGTTTGTAGCTAGGTAGCTACTAGTAGCGCTATCGTCAACAGTGGCATATGTAAGTCTAATGAGCTGTCATAGCGTGTTTGTAGGTGGCGCTGATCGCTTATTTTAATTTCATTAATCGTAGGTATACTTTTATTGTGTGGATTTTTATTTATTGATTGATCAGAGAGAATTTAAATGATTGAATGATTTAGATGATTCACTTAATATATTTTCTTAACGCAATTTTAAATTCCATATTTATAATAATGTGTGGCGCTTGTGTGCTCATTTCATTCTGTTTTAGATTTTGCATTGGACATCTTCGCAATTCATTATACCCACGATCAGACCCTTCATGGGCTTCAGGCTTCAGGGGCCCTTCAGGGCCGATGCTTAGCCGTGGCCTCGGCCCAGAGCAGGAGAAGGAACGGGGAGTTTTTAGTCAGTAA